GTCCACCCTTCAGTGAGGCTATCTCCAAGGGGGATGCCTCAGGGCTCGAGAGCCATCTGACAGTTTCCAGTTCCTAGATGCTGCCTGACTCAGCTCTTTCTTACCTCCATGTTTCGTTGTCACCCATGTCCCATCCTCTATGTTATTTGGGTATGTCAAAAATTATGCACCTTTGAATCAGAGTTGGCATAAAAGGCTGTAATAATGCATACTAAAATCAATTATTTGAGACCTTCAAGCAGAAACCCTCCCTCCTTCTTCTTCCCCTCCTCCTCCCCTTCAAGGAGTGATACAAAGACTTAGAAAGTCCCACTGGGCTCACAGGCACCCTGGCAGGGAGGGCGGAGAGCAGTGTTAAGAAACCACATGGTGCCATTAGATGTTCTTGACTGCTGTGGTTTTCTGGTTCACTCTGCTAGACTGTGCCCAGGGCTGTTCCTGGAGCCGTCTGTCATTGTACTTACAACTCACATCACACCCCGAGTCAGCCTGTTACCCCGCAGAGCCAACAGCCTGGCCTTTTTCATGCAAAGCCAGCAAAAACAGACCGCCTGGCAGAGCTGGAAAGCACAGACTCCGGAGCCCCCTTCTTTCTTGCAGCAATAATAAATGATAAGAGCATTGAGGATGACTGGAGAGCCTGACGATGATAAGAAACAAACAAACAGAAAAGGTATCTTCTAAGCCCCGGACTGGCAGACGGGGTGTAGTTTGGGCACACATTTGCTTGGAAACCTTGGGCAACTACTTTCCTCTAACTGGGTGTCATCTGTTTGCTCATCCGTAAAATGGAAATGCTGAGCTGTAAATGAGCCTAAAGTTTCTTTTCAACATTTGGGTATTGTATTAGTTTCCTGGGGCTGCTGTCACAAAGTACCACACAAACTAGGTGGCTTAAAACAACCGAAATTTATTCTCTCAGGATTCTGGGGGCTGAAGTCTGGAATGAAGGTGTCGGTAGGGCCATGCTTCCTTCAATATTCAGGAGAAGCTCCTTACTTACTTTTTTTCAGCTTCTGTGGGAGCTGTCAATCTTCTGTGGGAGCTGTCAATCTTCTGTGGGAGCTGTCAATCTTTGGAGTTCCTTGGCTTGCAGCTGCATTCATCCAGTCTCTGCCTCCATCCCCACATGGTGATCTCCTCTGCGTCTGTGCCCTCATATGTGTGTCTAAATTTGAGTCTGGGTCTCAATTTCTCTCCTTTGATAAAGTTTCCAGTCATATTGCAGGAGTGCCTACTGTACAATAGTACGAGCTCATCTTAACTTGAGTGCTCAATCTCCAAAGACCTTTTTTTTTTCCATGTAAAGTCACATTTACAGGTACTAGGGGGTTAACACTTCAATGTACCTTTTTAGAGTTGACACAGTTCAACCCATAATGGGTATTAATGAGTATTTTCCTGGTGACCAGGTTTATGAGGTTTTATTTTGAAATTTGAGATAGGAGATATTGATGGCTTCCCCTCAGTGGAGGAGAAACTGGGGAAATAAGAGCAAGGACCATGTTAACTGCAGCCAGAGCTGACATTAAGCTGGGCTGCACTGGTACAGCTTTATGGGTTGTTAAAACGTAAGAAGACCTACCACTGTCCTGAAATGCTTCCACCCATGAAATCCCTGATCTCCAGGCTGCCATAGTGGCAAGATGGCTTGATTTTCTACGGCTGGAGTTTCTGATTGGTTTTGGTTAATATGTTGAGTAATATAGAAGTTCATGGTGGCATCAGGACAACTTTGGTGAAAACTGAGACCAGGTGGGGTGAGTTCCACTTCCTCTCGCATGCTGCCCTACAGTAGATCATCAATTCCTGCAGGGCAGGGAGGTTTGTCTGTCTTGTTCACTGATGTATTGCCAGGGCCCAGCACAGAAGATTAAGGCTGGAGCACATAGTAGATGTTCAATAAATGCTTGTTGAATGAATTAATGAATTCTCAGATAAATCTGATGGCAAATATAAGCAAAGGAAGCATCAAGAAATAATCTTCTAGCACCAAAGTGCCCATTTGAAGTGTTCAGAACCTTTTTATTTTGTGTCCATTCACTTAGACGAAGTAGACATGTCATAACTTGAGACGCGTTCAACACTTTTACATCCTTAGAGTCACTGATACTGTCCCCATTTTCTAGCTGAGGCTGAGACTAAGAGAGGTTGAATACTTACTGGAAGGCACGTAGAAAATACATTGCAGAGACTAGAGCCCTGGCCACATCTGCCCAGCAGGGCTGGGCCATTCTTTTCCACACTCTAAGAGAAGCATGTAATTTGTCTCCCAGCCCCCAATCCCATGTATAATCATGTATTCCTTTATGTGATTATATAAGTAATGTCTGTCATCCCCATTAGACTGGAAGCTCTGTATTGCTCTGATACCTACAGCTACTTGTGGTTCAGAGTAGTTGCTTGTTGTAGGCATCCTCTAAGATGGCTCTCAATGACCTTGCCTTCTGGTGTCCAGGCCCTTTTATAAATACTACCCCCGCAACCCCCAACGCCACTGAAGAAGTCTGGCCTGTGTAACCAATAAGACATTGCAGAAATAATGTTGTGCAATTTCTGAGGCTGGGTTGCAATATCTTTTGTAATGCCCACCTTGCTGTCTCTTGGGTCACGTGCTCAGGGGAAGCTAGCTGCCATGTGGTAAGGACCCTCAAGCAGCCCCATGGAGAGGTCCATGAAGTAAACAACTGAGGTCTCCAGCCCACAGCCTTGGGAATGAGCTACCTTGGCAGTAGATCCTCCAGCCCCAGTCAAATCTTCAGATGAGACCATTGTCCCAGGTGACATTTGTGACTGAAGCTTCATGAGCAACCCTGAAACACAGCCACCCAGCTAAGCCACTCCTGAATTACTGACCCACAAAAATGAGTTTATAAATGCTTGGTTTTGTTTTAAGCCACTAAGTTTTGAGGTAACTTATCATGGGGGCACAGATCATAAATACTATGCTCAGTGTGAGCTTCTTGAATGAAACGGGTGCATAAGTCAATGAATGAACAAAAGCACTATTTTTCAGGCTAATTATAGTTATCTAGAAACTAGCTCCATCCACCATGGACTAAGCGGGTGGCTTCAGGCAAATATAATCTTGCTGCCCTGGGCCTCGGTTTCCTCATATGTAAAATGGGATGATGAGAGCAGTAGCCACCTCAGAGATTTGCTGCAAAGATTCGGGAGGAAAAGACAGGCAAAGACACTTAGCATGGTTCTTGGCACAGATCATACTGGAATTATTTCACACTCAGCACAACCTGTGCATAAGCGGTTAGAATGGTCACCAACTGGCTTGATATCAGCCCTGGGGTGGGGCCCATGATAAGCTCTCCAGAACTGGTAGCTGTCATCATCATCATTGCCACCAGGCCAAAGGCTAATAGACTCAGTGCCTGCAGCAAGGAGCTCTCAACTTAGTGTGGGAAAGAGACAAGCAAGCAAATATTTACACTAGTATGATGAAGGGCACAAGAATGTGCAAAATGATGATCCATTCTGCTATGGGAGGAAAATGTCCATATAATCACAGAGGGCAGAGGTCCAGAGGTCTCTGGCCCGAACCTCAATTCCAGCTCTCAGACGCTTTTAAGAGTTGACATTTGTTCCCACTGTTTCACCCAGTTTTGGAACAAAGAAACTAGTTCTGAGCCCACCTAAAACCAAACTCCACAACGCATCTCCTATTACGACCTTGGGCAAGTCACTTAGCCTCTCTGAACCTGCTTCCCCATTTATAAAAGGGGAACCATTAAAGTTTTTAACTCCTAGCAAGCACTTAAGACAGTGCTTGGTGTTATGTTTGACACTGGTAAGTGCTTTATAAATGTCATTGTGGGTTACTATTGTTACCACTTTTATGATTTGAGGTGCTGAATTAGACCCCTTCTTCCTGAAAGACTTCTGTTCTCATGGAAAAGATGGCTCCGTGAGAGACTAATCTTAGTTTTCCTTCCCACACATACCATACACAGGGCCCTCTTGAACTTCAAAGAGAAGCCCTGCCAGGAAGCTCAACTTGCTGTAAGTTTAGCAGGAGAAAGATGGGAGCCGGCTTCCAGGGCCGCGGAGCAGCTGTTTGATATCACACCAGGGTGGCCAAGACTTTGGGGACGGGCCTGTTTACTCCTTGCAGATAACATCTCGAGGGGACTGTGAGGAGGAATGGGAAGGACGCTCAGGGTCAGCCTTCACCTTTGTGGTTGTTTAAATGTCGATTACGCATCTGAGACTGACTTGCGCTAGGGTGAGGAGCGAGTGATGTGTTTGAAGAAGACTTCGTTTACGGGATCTTAGATCTCTTAACAAAAGTTGGTGGATCTCAGCCATCGTTTTTCTGGTTAAGAAAGTGCTCAGCGGCATTTTCGTTAATAACCTTCATGGTTGAAAACTCTTTCTAAGATCCCAGAGGCCTTCTCCGTCTTAATTAAATATGGCAATGAATATTAATAAGAAATTGAGCTATCTAACTAATTGAAATGAAAGGAGAATTGGATTTCAGAAAATAAGAAGTGCACAGACAAAGATGTTTTGGAAGCAACTTGTTTTTTAAAAAGTGCAGTGGCTTTCTTACCGCAGGATTTCCTAGGGTCTGTTGTATACCCGTGTGCATTTTGATTTTGTCTCCCTGAGAAAGACCTAGGAAGCCACAAGTTTTGCAAGAGATTTTGGATCACAGAATCTTTAATTTGTGGAGCGTAGTATGAGATTAGTATCCTTAGGTACACACTTTGGTCCAGGCTACCATGAGAATAAGATAGGTAAAGTACTCAGACCAGTGCACACCACCCACAGCAAGTGCTTGGGAAATGGTACACATTATTACTGTTACGACGGAGGGAGTTGAACTTCAAGGTTGCCTCTGACTCAAGAAATTGATTTTCATTATAATGCTATCACGAAAAGGTAATTGAGCTTGTTGGCTTGGATGAAATGGAAAAAAAAATTGAAATTATGCACTCAACATAATTTTTTTTCATAATTTAACCTTCATTTGTCTTTTTTTTTGTTTTTGTTTTTTATAAGATCTTAACAAACAATGAAATCCTCAGAGGCAACTCAAATAATACCCCAGGAAAATACCAGGGCACACGTTTCAGCATGTGTGGGAAATGTGTTGTCTTGACAAGGGGCATAATCCAGCAGACCCTGGGTTGCAGCAGTGTCCTTCCTGGGTCACATACGTGCTGTGAGCAGATGGAAACCACCTCACTGCTTTGGATACTGGGCTCTGAAAAGATGAAGCATACACAGGAGATTAACGCATCGGCTTGCCACTCAAAGTGTGGTCCTCAGATCAGCAGCACTGACATCACCTGGGGTTATTACTTTTCTTGGAGGGAGGTCCTTTCTCATGTACTTACAATGTCCAGATTTTGTTGGCAACTTGGTAAAGTGGCCGTTTGCTTAGCAAGATGTGCCTAAATATTTTGGAACTCCGAGTTGAGGGCAGTTCCAGCTTCAAGGAGAGAGCTGGTGCCAATTCTAATTTTCATTTCTAGATCTGGATCTTTATGACAAAAACCTCATCAACCTGGAAGAGTAACTTTCCTGCTTTCAACTGTGAGTTCTCCATCACCTCCCCTGGCTCCTTGCACATACACTCTCTCTTCTTTTCCATATAATAAAACAGCAATGTATTCAGCCCCTGGAACGTGTCTTGGCAAAAGGAATAAACTCAGCAGCTTGGTTTATTAGCTGTTTCCATGGGAGAGAACTCTTGGGGCCAAACATATTTACAAATATTTTAAGCACTCTGCTGCTCCCCAGCAGTGACATGGCTGTCTGGAGATAAATATCTTCTGAGAGAAGTTAGGTTTTCTTCTCCACCCTCTCCTCCTGCACCCTTCTCATCGATCTTGCTTTCAGCCAGATCATCCTAGAATTAGAAGTTCCCCAGAAGAACTTTTTTTACCACCTGTGGCATTGAGGGCCTGAGGGCTTGAGGTTTACTACTCTGGGGGAACAGACCAGAAATGTGGCTGTGGAAGATGAATATTTTGATATATTTTGTGATTTAGCCTGCTCAGAGCCTTTGTGAGCAGAAGTGAGCATCTCATAAACGGTGTTTTTAGCCTCACAGCTCTTACAGTGGTTAGAGGACCTAGTTCAGGGTAATTATATCAACTTCTTCTCCAAGTATTCATTTATTCAACAAATAGACATTGACTCTCAGCACATACAAGGCAGTGCATTCAGTGCTGAACTTACCATCTTGTATCTGTTAGGGTCCAGCGAGAAAACTGGCATCATTAAAGGTCCTTCAAGCAGAGAGAATTTAACATAGGAAATTGAATCCATAGGTGATGGAGAAGCTGAGGAAGCAGAGAGCAGAGAGTGAAGCAACCCAGAGTTTACCAGTAGCAGGAAGTTACTACTATCTCTAAAGAAAAGGGACAAGAAGAGGAACTTATACTTTCAGAGACAAAGGGCCAGGACCATCAAGTGTAGCCAAGATTGTGAAGCATCTGTAGCTTCTGCCAGAGCCTTTGTGAAGTGATACTCAACTGTGTCCTCTTTCTTTGCTCTAGTCTTCCATCAGAGCCTCCTACTGGCTGAGTATGCAAGGAAGCAAGAAGGCAAAGGAGCTTGGAAAATGTAGCTCCTTATGATTTGGAAGAGAACAGAGCACATAATGGATCTGAGAGTGAGTAGGTGCACAGTTGGCACATGTGGCAAGAGGGACGGGTACAGTCTTAGAAAAAAGTGGGTGTCAACTATTGCCTGGACCTACCATATCCTTGACACTCATCTCTCAAGCCCAAACTGAATCTAAAGGGTGAGAGATGATGGTCTTCCTTTTTCTTCCCCCTAACCTAAACTTTGGAAACTTGCCAAGAGAAAAAAAGTCACATTGCAAAAGAAAATTTACTTAGTAGATGAGCCGAAGTTTCTATGAACAAGTCCCCAGTGACACCATTTTAGTTTTAGAGCCCCCGAATTAGCACTGGGATGTTTTCCAGCCTTGAAAACACCTTTCCCTGCAAAAATCATGATTAAAATATATTCAATACTTGGTGTGTGGTGGCCATTGTGCTAAATTCTTCCCATGCATTATCTTTTTAAACTTTATATTGATCCCATGAGGTAGCAATAGCTACTCTTATTAGAACCAATTTGTAGATTAGCAATCCAAGGCTTAGACAGGTTAAATTCAGCATATTGCCAGGGAGCGGTAGAGCTGGAGACAGGCAATCTGACTTCTGAACCCCTAGTTTTAGCCACTTTTCAATATTGCCTTCCAATGAAAGCGTATTTGATGTTGTGGCAGGTAAGAGGGAAATCTGAGTTGAATATAGTTCAGATGATAGAGTTCAGAATACAGTTCAGTGCAACCCCACCTCCCAACTAAATCATAGATGAAATAAGGTAGTCACTTATTTTTCTTGCACATAAGGGACTGCTAATATGGCAGCTCTTTATCTTGGAGTTTTCAGTGGCTGGGATTTCTCTTTTTTCTTTGTCATCCTTAGGGTATTTTTGGTCATTAACACTTTTCTAGTTATTTCACCACCAAATTTGTAATCTAGACAGTAGAAATAGTAAGATAAATGTGAGGGGAAAAAACTCCTTCACTCTTAAGAGTGTGACACAGAAATCACACACATTTTTCTCTGTCCCATTAGCCAGAACTTAGTTATATGTTCCCACCTAGCTGCAAGGGAGCTGGGAAATGGGCAGCCCAGCTAAATTCAATTATTCTGTCAATACAGGGGAAAAGAAAAACATTGAGGGACAACTCTCTGGTTCTGCTTGCACATAACTTTCTTTTTACTTCAATGTACTTATTAAAAATCTTTTCCATGTTTCATCTCAGCTAATGTGCAAATCTCCAATTTGGGATAATTTTGTGTTCAGTTTACAATACATGAGGCAAACTGAGGACATGAGAGTTGAAATTACTTGTTTCAACACATGAGTCAGTTATGTGGTGAGTGAGGTCGGAATGGGTATTTATTTTATAAGTGGCCTTTCAATTGTTTTTATATTGCAAATGGCTTTTTGCTTCTTGATATAACCTCGTTACTGTGTTCGAATTGGATAATATATTCTTATGTAATGAAGGCTCTTCATATAAACACCCTTTGTTTAATGCTCAGTGCTATCCAACTTTTAGAAATTATTATTGGGAATATTACTCAATTTTTGACGTTAACACAATTCCAGCAAGTCTGAACTAGCTGATTCATGTGAAACAATAAAAAATGTGAGAGAGATGAAGTGTCTGGAGGGTTTAGTACAGAATTATTCATTTTTATGGACAGAAACTCAGCCTAGCTCAAGCCAGGAGAATTAACTGTAACAGACACCAGATGATATCCTGTGTATTTAAGAGTTAGAAACAAAGTTTAGGGGATCCCACTAGTTAGGAATTTGTCATTTGAGCCCTACACAACACATTGTATAGGGAAGCACATATTGTCATGGTATAAACATTACCACCAATAAACTCACGCACATATTCCCCAGCAAACATCTCAGCCCATTTTACATGAGTGTAACTACTCACCAGTGCATCAATACCTTTGTTGGACACTCCCTCACAGGTTGCCAGATGCTGTAGGTATCTGACCATACCATGCAAATACAATGCAAATAGATTGCAAAGCAAAATTGCAAATCTTGCAAAAGATGCAGGATTTCAGAAAGTGGATGGAAATTTTGCTGGAGAAGGGCTCTAATTACAAGCAAAGCATCTGATGAATGGGAATGTGGTAGCATCAGGCCAGTTGACAGGACAGGTGCTTCAGATGAGAATGATTTGTGTATCAAAGGATTAAGAGAGGCCCTTAGGAAAATTGACGAAGCCCTCCAGTATTCCTAAAAAATTACCACCTTTATAATCCTGCTGCAAAAAAGTCCACTGTGAAGGGAACGTGTCATCTTACGATATCATGTGATTTATGTGAATATATAGTTTCAGAAAACTTGCCAAAACTTGATTCAAACTTTGTTCATTCTAAGAATTAGAACACTGTTGACATTACAACCGGACTCTTGTTAGATATGATAAAATAACTTGTTTTTCTAATTTTCAGCTTGAAGAGTTTTCAATCCCCTAGGGTTCCCGTGGATGTTTTATTAGATTGTGAAGTTTACTGAATATTCCGTGTTTTGAGATGGGGTTGGAGGTTTTGACTTGCTGTTCAGCCTTTTTTGCTTTAGCTGGCTGGAAGCAATTGCTGTGCAAAGGAATATGTGTTGGGAGAGCCTCAATTCTTGGCCTCTGTTTGGGTGCTGGAGTAATAAGGCTACGGCTGCTGCTGCTCACAAAAACAGCCACAACAGCCGGGCGCAGGGGCTCAGGCCTGTAATCCCAGCACTTTGGGAGGCTGAGGCAGGTGGATCACGAGGTCAAGAGATCGAGACCATCTTGGTCAACATGGTGAAACCCCGTCTCTACTAAAAATACAAAAAATTAGCTGGGTATGGGGGCGCGTGCCTGCAATCCCAGCTACTCAGGAGGCTGAGGCAGGAGAATTGCCTGAATCCAGGAGGCGGAGGTTGCGGTGAGCCGAGATTGCGCCATTGCACTGCAGCCCGGGTAATAAGAGCGAAACTCCATCTCAAAAAAAAGAAAAACAAAAAAAAAAAAACCCAAAAAAAGAGCCACAACAAACCTTGACTAGACCTTTATCATGTACAAAGCCGAATGTTTACATGGGCCTGGAATCCTCAGGTCACCCTACAAGGTAACTGTTGTTTCAGACCCATTTAACAGTCGAAGACAGTAAGGTTTAGCAAAGTTAAGCATTCTGCCACTAAGTTTCAATACTTGGTCCTTTGGGAAACTAAATCTTTCCTCCCCCATCTCCCACTTTTTAAATAGTGGTAGAAACATTTAACATAAGGTTTACCCTTTTATACAGATTTTAAGCGTACAGTACAGTACTGTTGGCTCTAGGCACCATGTTGTACAGCAGGTTTCTAGACTTACGTTGCATGACTGACATTTTACACCCGTTGAATAGGAATTCCCCCTTTTCCCCTGCTCCCTGTCCTTGGCATCCACCATTCTACACTCATGGGGCACCGAGCCAGACATGAGGGATTCACACCCTGCACCAAACCCTCCGCCCCACCCTACCAGGCCGCAACTCCAATACTGGAGATCAAGTGTTTACCTAAAGATTTGGAGGACACAAATATCCACAGTGCGTCAGCTGGGGACTCAGGGGAGAAAAAGGCAATAGGCTGACACTAGTAAGAGCTTGAGCATGACTTTCTACAGATCTAGATTTAAATTCTGGCTCTGTCAATTTTTAACCCTGGGAACTTATGCAAGGGAATTAGCTATTCAATGTGGAAAGAATGCCCAGAGACTAATATTCACAGAGCTAGAAACTGAGCTGGGTTCTGATCTTGCTTCTTCCACTCTTGAGTATCAGACCTCACTATCCCCCAACCCCCAGTGTAGATCCATTATGTACCATGACCATGCAGAATCACTCTCTTCTTTGTGCCCTCTCTTTATCCTCTGCAAGCTCCTATGTTTACATTTATTAGTTTCCTTCTTAGTCTCCCCCATGAGAATATAAGTTTCTTGAAGGCAGTTGTGACTTAGTCCACGTTTGTACCCCACACGGCAGGCAGCCTCTAACATAACCCCCAACGATCCTCACTTCCTGGTATTAAATACAATTGTGCAATTCCCTCCCCTTGAGTGAAGAATGGACTTACTTACTCACTCTAATGCATAGAATACAACAAAAATATGGACTGTCACTTTCAAGATTAGGTTACAAAGAGAGAGAGACTTCTGTCTTGTGCACCTTCTCTGGTTCTCATGTTCACTGTCTCTGGGGGAAGCCAGCTGCCACTTGGTGACCACCCTAAGGAGAGGCTCATATGGCAAGGAAAGACCCAAGCTAACAAAGACCCAAGGCCCTGTGTTCTACAACCTGTAAGGAATAGTGTTATTCCCAGTTGAGCCTTCAGATAAGGCTGCAGTCCCAGCCAAGACCTTCATTACAGAATTATAAAAGACCTTGTAGCAGGGAACCCAGCTAAGCCAGGACCACGTTCCTGGCTTAAGTTTTGACCCATGGAAACCATGAGATAATAAATGTTTGCTTGTATTTTAAGCTACTAAGTTTTAAAGTAATGTGTTATACAGCAATAGATAAGTAACGTACTTTTAAAAATAGTGCAGTACCTAAGATATGAAGGGTATTTAAATGGCCTTGTTGAATAAATAAATGACCTCAAAATCTTAATACTAATGGCCATGCTAATAATGAATACTTACTGAGTGCCTAATATGTGCCAAGCCTATGATAGACATTATCTTAAGGTATCGTAGAAGAGTAGGAAC